CAACGAACTGTACCTAGAGTCGAAGCAAGACTACAAAGGATCAAGTAAGTAACTACAAGTTAGAGGTAGATATAACGAAGTACTCACTCTTCAGTCAGTAAGGAAAGACTGAAGAGGGAGGACGCAATCTGAAGTCCTTATATACTACAGAGAAGTGTCCATGACTAATCGAAGAGTGGTTAGTCACATGTACCATAGTGCGATGAATAATACAACGACGAAAGAATTGCGACGTATCGCACCATAGGATGAGTAATAAATGAGTAAGGCATAGACCTGTCTAGACCATTCTGGAGTAGTACAGATTGTCCTAGTCAGTACCAGAAGAGTCCGGAAGCATAGCTATAGTACACGAGCAGAGAGTCCCAAATATGGTAACATACTACATAAGCGACTACAGCTAAGCGCTAGGAGATGCATAGCCTCGTGTAGTCCGGACCGGATAAGTCCAAGTTCAACAAGAGAGTTCGTAAATAGTAAAACCCAATGTCTGTGTGGTCGTCTCGTGACCAGATACGCTGAAGAATTGTCAGTAAACGCTGCTCAAGCAGACGCGAAGATCGTACATGAATGTGGATATCTACACGCTTCGTCAGCACCGTGAAGACTTTGTGCACCTGCAACAGCCCGTACCTGCTCATGCAACTCTTCCTCAGAGATGTCTCCAGCAGCATGTGCAACCACTGTGGACGAAAGTCAAGCCTTATTGAGGCACCGAGGATACTAAGTATACTCAACGAAGTCTGCTCAGAAGATCTTTTGAGGCCTTAGTATCTCCGTTCTACATGATGTCTTGATTGCGCCGAATCAGCTCGCGTGCTACGCCCGTCTGAGGAATAGTGAGGTCGAGGACAATGCTCCATTATGCCACATGTAACTTTACAGTGACTGCCGAAAATAGTGCACCGGCGCTTCGCGCGAATGAAATCTCTGTACGACGGACGACCTGCGCTATGTTTTGGGCTGCTTATTATACATCTATGTAGCCACACAAGTCTTGATATCATGCAAAGACTCTCGCGACAAACGGCGCAGGATTGCCCAGGTTATTTGAGTGACATTGGACAGACCCCAAGTTAGGGGTACGTATCAAGGTGGTAACGAGCGACGAAAGTTAACCATAAGTCTACAAAATCTCGATGCTAAGCCTAGTAGCATGTATGCAGTCCATGAGCAGCCTTGAGAGCCTCAACACAATGGGGAATGGAATCGTACAGCTTCTGTATATAACCAGTATCAAGCCCATACCATTTCTCCTGCAAGGCAGCCCATAACTCATCAACATTCCGGGGGAGAGGGGAACGACGGCGCACACGGCGGTCTAACTCCTCCCAGACATGCTCAATAATGTTCATGTCAGGGGATGATGATGGTCAAGGGAGTAGGATGATGTTGTGATCCTCAAACCAGCGGGTGGCAAGACGAGACATGTGCTTCCGATCATTGTCTTGCTGGAAGACAAAGCAGCGTGTCGCGGCGACTAGGCGCGTGGACTCGGGTCGACGTTCGGCGACGACCCCGTGGGCGAGCGGCAAGGAGCCGAAAGGGAAAAGAGAGAGGGAGAGGGATAAACGTGACAGAAAACTCGATGAGGGCAGAGCAGAGGTCGGCACGAAGGCACGAGACCTACGAAAGCTAGTCTTCACGCAGACAGCGACAGATTAGTCCCAATGACCAAGTTATACATTAGTACTCGAAGGGAAGTACAAAACTATGGTCACTCACCTAGTCCCAATGACCAAGAGGTCGAGATGGGGACTAGGGAGCGCCTAAGGGGGTCCTTATATACTGGAGGGGCTGCTTAGCAACCAAGGACAAGGCGCGAGAGCGAGGCAGTGAAGATGACAAAGAGAGAACAAAGGGCGAGAAAGAAAAGGCAAGGGCATGGCGATCACGGGAACGTAGCATGCGGGTGTGGGAACGTATCTACAGTGTCCAAACTGGGATGGGCTAAGAAAGGAAATGGTCCAAAAATGGAAGGTGGGCGTCAAGGGGAGGGGAATGGGCGGCAAAAAGGGGCGTCTGTCCAACGTCCGTGACAGTCTTTTGCCGGCTCCCAGCTGTTCTGGCCTTCGTCGTAGCCTTTCCACTTGACCAGGTATTGGAACTGGTTACGGTACGTGCGGCTGTCTTCAATCTTTTCGACCTCGTACTCGAGTTCCCCTTCGACTTCGACTAGTTCCGGTGGGGGCGGAAGTATGCCGTTGACGTCATTGCCCGTCCAGGGTGTGAGGCGGTCGACGTGGATGACGGCGTGTCGGTTCTGCATGGAAGGGGGAAGTTGAAGTCGATACGTGAGTTCGCCCGTGCGTTCCAAAACTTCATACGGCCCAAGTCGTCGGGGTGCGAGCTTGCGACTAGCCTGATGGATGGTGACGTCCCGTGAATCCATCCAGACACGGTCTCCAGGCTTGAACTCGTGGGGTTTTGGCTTGTCGCGCTTAAACGACTCCTTCATGGCGGCCTTCTCCATCCGAAGGGCTGCCTCCGCGTCCTTTCGTACTTCACGCCACAGTTCCAAGCGCTTGTCTAGCCCCGGGAACTTGGTGGGGGCGCCGATGGGTACCGTGAAGTTAGGCTGGTAGCCATAGATGATCTCGAAGGGGGAGACTTGGAGTCCGGAGTGGACGTGGTTGTTGAGCACAAACTCCGCGGTCGGCAGGTGGGCCACCCAGTCGTCCTGTCGTAGGTTAGAGAAGAGCCGTAAGTGTTTCTCTACCTCCTGGTTTGCCCGTTCGGTCTGCCCATTGGACTGGGGGTGGTAGGTGGTCGTGAGCGCATGCTGGATCCCAAACTTCTCGTACAAGGCCTTCATGAAGCGTGCCGCAAACTGAGGTCCTCGATCGGACACCACCTTCTCCGGCACTCCGTGGAGACGGAAGATCTCGCGGTAGTGGATATCGGCGACTCCCTCTGCAGTAACGTCGGTCGTGGTGGGTAGTACGTGGACCTGCTTGCTGTAGTGGTCGCTGTAGACAATGATCGTGTCGTATCCTTGTACCGGGGGAAGTCCAGTGATGAGGTCTACTCCCATCGTCTGCCAGGGGCCTTCGGGTACATTGTGGGGCTGGAGCGTGCTTCGAGGATGACGAGGGGCTTTCCGGCGTTGGCAAGTGTCACAGCCTTCGACGTACTTGCGCACAAACGCGTCTCGATGCGGCCACCAATAGAGGCGGCTGACCAGCTCGATCGTCCCGTTCCGTCCAGGATGTCCTGCAGTGATCGCGTCGTGACACAAGAAGACGACCCGTTTATGAAGGTCTTTACCAGGGGGAATGTAGAGCTTCCCATGCCGGTAGATAAGGTCGTCGTGCACTTCCCATTCCAGGAGTCCGTTTTTCAGCTTCTGGGGGCCCTTCTCCTTGAGGATGCGGAGAGCCTCGACTACTTCCAGGTCGAGTACCTGGGCATCTCGAATCTCCTGCTCCAGGGTGCTCGTGTCCGTAAGCGTGGCTGACAGGGAGACAAACCGTTCCGGTCCCAGCACGATTTGATCTCTGTTGTCCTCCGCATCCGTAGTCTGGTGGGTCGGGAGGCGAGAGAGGGGATCGGCTTGGGTGTTCGTCTTGCCAGGCTTGTGCGTAAGACGGAAGTCGAAGCGGCTGAGGTATAGAGACCATCGAGCCTGTCGACGGGTGAGGTTCCGCGCGGTACGCCAGTACTCCAAATTACAATGATCTGTGACGATCTCGAAGTGTTCAGGGAGCCCTTCAAGATAGTGTCGCCAGTCCTCGAGAGCACGGATGATCGCGAGCATCTCTCAGTCGTAGATCTCGTAGTTCCGTTCCGCTTCAGCCATTGACTCAGATCGGTAGGCCACTGTCTCAGTTTTCTCGTGCCACGTGACCTAGGGGTCATGTGAACCAGGACAGACGCCCACCTTTACCACGAGCAACTCGTATCGGAAAGTGGAGGAGCCAGGATCGAACCCAGGACCTTGTGGGGTCCAGAGCGCCCATCCTCACTCACTGGCAGGTGACTCACGCGTCAGCAGGGGCGCTTACTCATCGGAGGGAGCCCGGACTTAGCATGACTCAGGTATCAGTCATGAGGACATCATGTGACAGGTCAGGAGGCAGGACATGAGTCAGCAGACTCTGACCAAGCAGGGACAAATAGATACCTGGTCTGTGCACCGTTGCATTTGTATAAATAGTAGGGAGTCTGAGGCAGGGAACCTCAGACTTGATCTTCTCGTCGATTCCCCATCTCCTCTGTAGGTAGCTAGCAGCCCTACCTTCTACTGCCCCTTCTAGTCTAGGGAATTCACATCTTTGCATCATATCTTGCTGTGTCACTTGTGGTTGCTTCGCTCTCAGCACCAACCCCTTCACCAGTAAGCTTTGTCTTTGTTTATCTGGTGGCACAGCACGTTGGCTGTGACAGCCACCGGGTGCCAGAGGTCGTTGTCCAGCTTCTGCAGCAGCACTCCTCCGGTCGCGAAGCCAGAAGCGTCCACCTCGATCCGCGTGGGCCGAGCCGGGTCCCAAGAGACCAGCACGGGCTCGCTCATAAACGCGTCCTTGAGGGCTTGGAAGGCCAGTCGCTGCGCGGTTCCCCAAGTCCAGGGGACGTCCTTCTTGATCAGGTTGTTGAGCGGTCTCACGAGCTTGGAGAAGTCCCGGATGAATCGACGGTAGAAGTTGGCAAACCCTAGGAAGCCGCGCAGGTCGCGCAGGTTCTTGGGGGCTGGCCACGCTGTGACGGCCTTGACTTTGACCGGGTCCATGGCCACCTCGCCTTCGCGGATGATGAGGCTGAGGTACTCTACCTCCGTCTTCTCAAACTCGCACTTCTCCGGTCGCAGGTAGAGGTCGTGTTCCTGGAGTCGTTTCAGCACCTCGTGGGTTACGGCGCGATGCTCTTCGAGGGTGGTGCTGAAGATGAGGATGTCATCGAGGTAGACAGCAACCTTTCCTGCGGTGATCAGATCAGCGAAGATTGAGTTCATCAAGGCTTGGAATGTAGCGGGGGAGTTGGTGAGTCCGAACAGCATGACTCGCGGTTCGAATAGGCCTCGATCGTGGACTGTAAACGCGGCCTTCCACTCGTCGCACTCCTTGATGCAGACGTTGTGGTAGCCCCAACGGACGTCAAACTTGGTGAAGTACTTGGCTTGGCGCAGGCGACTGATGATGTCCGACGCGAGGGGGAGAGGGTACCGGTTCTTTACTGTGATCTCGTTGAGCTTGCGGTAGTCCTGGACTAGATGGAGCTTGCCATCCTTCTTCTTCACGAAGAAGACCGGGGACACCATCGGGGACTTGGAGGGGACGATGTAGCCTTTTCGAAGGTTTTCCTCGAGGAACCGATCGACCTCCTCTTGCTCGTTAGGCGACATCGGGTAGGCCTTGGAGCGTAGAGTTTCTGGGGCGTCAGGTTTGAGGTCAATGGCATGGTCGTACGGCTTGTGCTCTGGAAGGCGCTCCGATTTGGTCTCAGAGAAGACCTTTGAGTACTGTCGGTACTCTTCCGGGACGATCTCCTCGAACGTGCGTTTGGGCTTGTCCTGGTTGGCCTTCTGTGCGAGTTCCATGGAGTAGGTGTACCCGGCGGCGCACCACAGCTCCTCGGTCGTGTCCTCCAGGACCTTGGTCTTCCACCACTTTCTTCGCTGCACCCGGTTGGCGGCGATCCGCTCAATACCAGGTTTCCATTCCGCCTCGGCCTCCGTTTCCTCCGCACCAACCTCCATGGTGCCTTCCTGCCAGTTGATGTCCGGGTTGACCCTACGAAGCCAAGGTAAGCCTAATACGACGTCTTCGGGGCCCAGGTCTGTAACTAAGAACTCGAGCCATTCCGTGTAGTCGCCCATAAGTACTTGTAATCTAATGTAATGGGAGATGCTGCCCGCGCTGTTCTTGGAGCCATCAATGTTGTAGAGGGGAATGTCTCTAGCTAGCCTATGTAAATAGACGTTGTTCTTCTTTACGAAACGGTGGCTGATGAAAAGGGCCGTCGCCCCACTGTCTATCATAGCTGCGGAACGTACACTACGGTTTCTGCCCTTAAGTAGCACACTGATGCGGAAATGCGAGCTAGATGGATTTAATTCGGGGATGATACACGAACTAATGCTATCGTACAGGCAGGGGTCAGGGATCTGGGGAGGCGAAGAGTCCGTAGTCGTACTGGAGGGCACCGCTGCAGCAGCTTTCGCACGCGCCCGCTCTAAAAAGACTTCTGCAGGGAGGCAAGCTGGTCAGTGAGGGCCTTCTGCTGCTCCATGAGCTGCGCGATGAGGGCGTTGGTTGCTCCATCATCTGCAGACGTTGACGTCGACGCTGCAACTTGGGGCTCCTCAGGTCCCTCTTCCGTGGCGGCGAGCTTCTGCGAGCGGGGCTTCTTCAGGAACTTGTCCATGCACACCGTCTCGCAGTGCCCTACGCGGCGGCAGTAGTTGCAGATGTCCCTGTCGTGGCCACCGTCCTTCTTGACGTGCGCCGTAGACCCGCAACCATAGCACTTGCCGCGCATGAGGCGGTTGAACTCTTTGCGCGTACGGGTCGCGTCAATGTCCATTGCGTTCGGGTCTCGGGCAGGCGGCGTGAAGGGGGTGGTATGCAGCGGAACAGCCGGCTTGGCCGCGGTGGTGGTGGTGGTGGTGCGTCCGCGCTGACGATCCCATTCGGCACGGCGTTGGCGGACACGGACGTCGATGTCGGAGAAGACGGTGATGAGGTCCTCCAGAGAAGCGATGGGCCTTGCCGTGTGTACCAACTCGTCCTTGATGGAGTCCGCAAGGTGCTCATAGAAGCGGTTGCGGAGGTCGGCCTTGGAGTAACCCGTGCGGGTGGAGAGCTCGTTGAACCGGGCGGTGTACTCCAGAACAGTCATGGAGCCTTGCCACAACGTACAGAGGTGTTCCTTCGCATCGACCACCTCGTCGACTGTCTCGAATCAGGCCTTAAACTGGGTGCGGAACTCCGTCCACAAGCCTTTGAACGGGGTGGTGCCCTGCACGATCTCCTCCATCACCGGAGTGGCCCAGAGAGCCGCACTGTCCTGCATGAAGGAGAGGACTGCCCGAATCCACTGGTCGTCACGCGCGCGCTGATTGCGTTGCCTGTGGCATCCACGTGGTTGAGTGTTGATCCTTGGGACATGGCCCAGAGAGTGAACGCGGCCAGGAAGCGTCGTGCTTCGCCCCCCTGTTCGCCTTTGAAGGGAGAGGGCTTCTGAACCGCCTTCAGGCTGTTGGCCCCAGTGGTCGAGTTGGTGAGCTGCGCCATGGACTGAGTGAGGAGGTCATCGATTGGAGTAGTACCGTCATGGGGTCCGGGGGTTGTGTTGCCGTCTGGGTGCCCAGTTGGGCCTGCTGGGGGTTGTTGGCGGGGCCTGTCACCTGCGGTTGTCCGCCTTGTTGTCCCATGATGGGCGGAGCGGATGGTGGGCAAGTTGGGGGGAGGGTAGGGGATGGGGGAAGCGCGATGAGTAGCGCTACTTCGAGCTCGTCAGTCGGAGTACCGGGGATGGGGGATCGAGTCGTGGGCGACTCAGCAACGGGGGAGTCAGGAATGGGGATGAATTCGTCCATAAAGGCGTTCCAGTTGATTCGAGCAGGGCGGTGATGACGGTTTAGGCAGGGGTGTTGCTCACACGGTTCCCAGTACCAGAGTCCGTCATCTGGGTCCTTCCGTCGGTGACAGTAGTCTTGGTCTTCTGTGTCCCACACGTGAAGTCTGCCGGTGCAGTCCAGGGTGGGGGAGACAATGTAGCGGCGGCGGGGACACTCTTGTTCAGAGCGTCAGCACCGGGGGAGAGATCTCGACCTAATGTCGCGGCGACTAGGCGCGTGGACTCGGGTCGACGTTCGGCGATGACCCCGTGGGCGAGCGGCAAGGAGCCGAAAGGGAAAAGAGAGAGGGAGAGGGATAAACGTGACAGAAAACTCGACGAGGGCAGAGCGGAGGTCGGCACGAAGGCACGAGACCTACGAAAGCTAGTCTTCACGCAGACAGCGACAGATTAGTCCCAATGACCAAGTTATACATTAGTACTTGAAGGGAAGTACAAAACTATGGTCACTCACCTAGTCCCAATGACCAAGAGGTCGAGATGGGGACTAGGGAGCGCCTAAGGGGGTCCTTATATACTAGAGGAGCTGCTTAGCAACCAAGGACAAGGCGCGAGAGCGAGGCAGTGAAGATGACAAAGAGAGAACAAAGGGCGAGAAAGAAAAGGCAAGGGCATGGCGATCACGGGAACGTAGCATGCGGGTGTGGGAACGTATCTACAGTGTCCAAACTGGGAGGGGCTAAGAAAGGAAATGGTCCGAAAATGGAAGGTGGGCGTCAAGGGGAGGGGAATGGGCGGTAAAAAGGGGCGTCTGTCCAACGTCCGTGACACAGCGGGGAGGGATGCGATGGTCGTGAAGTGTACCCAAGAGGGACTCCTCGAGAATAGCGACGTACTTCTTTGCATCCATGATGCCATTGATGCTGTGAAGACGTCTGACTCCACGCGATGTGATGCACCCCCACACCATAACACTTCCTCCACCATGTTTGACCGTCTTCTTCATGTTCCTGTCCAGAAAAGCCTCCCCATCTCTCCTCCGACACCACTGCCTCCCATCCAAGCCAAAAAGATTGAATTCCGACTCATCTGAGTAGATGACCAAGCACCGCTCTGCATCGCCCCATTTGCTGGCCTCCTCCGCCCAGGTTCTCCGCTGCGCCACAACTGAATGGCTAAGGTACGGCTTCTCCCGACGTGCTCGTCCATGCAGGCCAATCTCAGAGAGACTCCTCTGGACAGTGCAAGGGCTGACGGTGGGGAACAGCTGTCACTGGACATCACTTGCATCACGAGCCGTACCCCTTGCCAGGAGGATCTCGGCATGACGAAGGTCACGGGGGGAGAGGCTGCGAGGGCGGCCAGGCTTTCGGGGGTGAAAATAGACGTCCTGGGCCTTTTTGACTATCTTGTAGTTCCGTGAGGCTGTGGAAGCATTGAGGCCGAGGATAGAGCCGATTTCACGGAAGGACTTTGGCTTGCCAAAGCGGGGGTCACGGAAAGCCAAAATGCGAGCACGTTTGCTGGGGGTACACACTGTCATAGCAACAGGTGTGTAGACAAGGATCTTGTGAAGCGAGTATTAAAAGGATATAAGCGTTAGAGGTCGTGTCGTCGAAGATGTTGAAGAAGAGTTGCGCCGGTGCCCAGTGCCAGCGCATACCAAATTAGCGCTGAAACATGTTTCTGGCCAATTGTGTAAGCATTGTATTGGAGTTGATATTTATCATCCCAGCACTATACTAAGGGACTCATAGGAATGTATATAACTGCATTTATTCAGTGGTACACTTTGTAGATACGGCGGTACAGCAGGATTTCGGTCGCACGAAGCGCCGGTGCACTATTTTCGGCAGTCACTGTACCTTGATGGCGACTTTTGCTAGGCCCTGGGACTGAATGGCAGCAATAGGCAGATCGTTCAAGATGGGAAGCGGCGGAGAAGCATCAAGTCTGTACGTATCGGTATCCCGATATTCAGTGGAGTCGCATACGGAGAAGCCAACCGCAAGTGAAGTCACATCAAGAAACCAGCGTATTTAGCGGCACGAGAGACACCGCGACGTCTCCCGCCTAAGATCTGCTTGGCTTCAGGACTATTCCCGGCTTGGAAGTCATGTAGAAACGCCTGAAGGATTGCTGAGTAAAGACGTTGACTGCAAGGCTCACGCCGATGCTTACAACGCGTCCTATAACGTTGAGTCTGGTAGTAGAACGTTAGTTTATGTGATTGCTGACGCCGACTAATACATACGTTGCCTTGGACGTCCAGTCGAGGATGTTGACAGGCTTCTCCGCTCCGGACTGCACATGGCTAATGAATTGGTCTACGACCTCCAGTGCGGCAACTCTCACGTGGCTCGACATGGGCCTTCACATTCTCAGGTCTAGGAGTGAAGTAATTTGCCACTCGTGGCTGCGGTGACTAACGAGGACGCACGACAAAGACAGGCTGACTAGCCGGCGCATCCGCTTGTGCTCAGCCTCGCCCTCCACCCAGCCAAGGCCCTTTCCTAGAAGGCGAGCCACACGGGGGTGCACAACCCTGCTGTGATCTATAATGCGAATCAAGATGATATACAGCGCAATGGCCACGAGACACTTACGATAGTCATATATCTTCTTCTGTAGGATATAGGCAATTGAAACCGGATCGCTCAACACGAGCTGTTGGCAAAGTGAGATGATTTGAGACAGCTATCCAATATGGTGTTCTTACAATGTTGCCTGCCTGCTTGAGCATTGAGCCAACACAGTCAATGTTACGGAAGAATGAGAAAACGCACCCCAAACGCAGCTTTGATGCGATAGGTCAAGCCCAGCTCGCTCTTCCATTTCCTGTATGCTTGGCCTGGTTCATTCATAAATACATCCAAAGCAAGGTTCAAAGTACTGACTGGTACAGGAAGGGACTGGATCAGACTTGCGGCGAAAGGCTACGGAGAGCCGCCAACCAATCACAGGAACGAGGGTGACAAGCACTAGCGTGGACTTGAGCAAATCGTTCAGGAGAACAGCCATGGTTTCCACCAGTGGAGGGGAAACTGCGAGAGGGTAAACTGCGATGAAAAAGAGCTGGCTGGCTGTTTAACGTGGAGGGACACTTACACGAGATAGCGCCTAGCAAGAATCAAAATGCTGAGAAAACAGCGCTTGCTGTTGGTGAACGGCTCACATTCTGCCCATCGGCGGGATGCCTGTTCCAGTACTCGTGAGCCCACACAAATCAGGTACCTAGTACCTCCCTGATTGTGATGGTCAGCTCATCACTTCTTTTAGGGTCACAAGGCACCTGTTATCGGAGCAACGCCACGCTCTCCGGTCGGGATTGCCTTGAAAGCGGGCCCCAGTAGCGCGTATAGATGGTGCCAAATGGCCTTCCTCCTGAGATTCTGCCAATCAAACTGCTCCAAATCTGTCTAACGTGGGTTCCGAATGAGCTAATGCCGGCACGTCTAGAGGGCTACTATCATGCCGTCCTTGCTAGCCTCAAGGCTATGAATCACCAAGGTGATACGTGACAAGTCACTAAGCTCCGTATTGGCCACCTTGTCCTTCAAAGCACATGCTTCTGTTCGGGAAGTGTTGGGTTGTCACAGAGAACGGTCGCCATATGTAACAGGATGCTTCAGAAGGAGGGGTTCCCATTTTTGTACAGCTATGGTGCGGTTCAACTAAACACCACTTTTGAACAGCCTTAAGCACGTGCCTGAATTATCACGTGACGTCCCTGAGCTTGGGGCTCAACGGCGCGCCACTGGTCGTCGAGAGGTTGCATAGGCCGACATACATGTTATAGTCATGTACATAGTCGTTCACGGATAGGGATGAAGTATCTTATCACAACCATAACACTTTGCTACACCGTGGGCATATCACGATGGTTTGACCCTTCAATATGCCAAAACCATGTGAATTATTGTCTGAATGAACTCCGCCTGAAGTAATCGAGACCTGGTAGAAATATGCGGACTAGTGACTGCTTGTTTGAAGCTCAGTAAATCACGGATGAACTGTTCAGATTGTTTTGTTAGAGACCTAGTGTATATCCATGCAGAAATCATTCAGAATGCGGAGGGTATACTGAATGGTTGATTAGCAAATGAACTCTAATATAATATTTCACATGGTCCAAAGGTTTCAATACAATGGGAGCTCAATGTGATCGGATTTTGGCTTACTAGATTAATACCATTCTATCACAGATCTTTCAATCATGGGAGATATTTAATCAGAGATTAATCGATCACCTGCGAATCAACCATTTGTTACGCTGAAGTACTAACACAAGTCTATCCAGACTTATCACGCAGACTTATCCAAGTACGCGGTGTAGCACACAGGGGAGAGAGTATCGCGCAAGTCCCTAGATTGAGGGATATAGGGATACAGGAGGTAACAAAGAGGAGAACAGAAGTGGGGAGCCTCTACCGACTACAGGCCTCCTTATATACTATGGGGTACCGACCGTATTAGGAAGGGAAAGGTAACCAACCAAAGTGGGGAGGTATGAGGAGACTGTAAAGGAACACGTCTGGTCGAGGCTAGGCCCAGTATAGTACATGACCTAGGTCAGGGTCCTGTGATATAACCGAAAGGGGATAGAGGCGGGACAGGGTCCTAAGTCTAGGTCAGGGTCGGGTAATGTAACTGAAAAGGGAAAGGGGCGTGACAAGGGTCGGGGTCTGGGTCAGGGTAAAGTAATGTAACCGAAAAGGGAAAAGGTCAGGGTCGGACTCAGGGTCCGGTCATATAGAGTAAAGGGGGAATATTAAGGGAGAGGGCCGGAGTGAGGTGTTGGAGTATGGTCACGTGCTTGCCTTACTGCTTTGGGCACGCTTTGCGAACGCTTGACGGTGGCACCAACGCCACTACGCCTTCTGTCTCGGATCTACATTACGATAGTCTTTATGTAGTACATGTATATATAGACTCCCGCGGCTCCGCTGTAGAATCATCTTCTTTCCCCACGAACTTCTACAGGTTATGAGCCCTGCTCTGCTCTAACCGACCGATCTACGCCACCACTGCTGCTATATCTGGAAACTTTCTTGCTTCTCTCGCTTACCTAATCTTGCTCAACCATGTCCACCGAAGCTTTTCTCGCGCGCGTACGGATCGAGCCACTCACCGGTGTTGAGGACTGGCCGTCGTGGAGGGTCCAGATGGAGGACCTCCTATACGAGGCGAAGCTGTGGGACTACGTTGCGGGT